GGCCTGTAGCATGCTGGGATGAAGGACTACCAAGTTTAATCAAATGAATGACCTTGATCCACTTTCAACCTGATGTCCTTGTTCGACATTCAAGGTCACAGGCGTCATATATGTTTAAATCTTTTTATAGGTTCTTATGAATCAAACACTGATATTCTGCCTGTAGCTGTATTTTAGTCCACTTTTAAGATTACAAGTGTGAGATTAATACCAGGTGAGCGATGCAGGCCCATTGGGCCTCTTGTTCTGTAATCTCCATAGACAAAACATGCAGCTCTCCTCTGGACCATTCTCTAACATGTAACGTTGGTATCCATCTATGTTAAAGGGTCCCAAATAACACAGGCTTAGTCTATAACTGGTCTGAACGTGGTCCTGTAGTACTGCTCTTTGATCGTGCTTGGGCAGGTGCTGATGTTTTGTCGTAGAAAGGCATTGATGTTATTAGCCTTCTTTGCTATGTTGTCTGTGTGGGGGGTCCAGCTTAAGTTGCTACTGATATTAAGACCCAAGTATTTAGCTGTTTATGCTAAGGCTAGTGGTACTCGATGGATGGTATAGGTGGGTATAGTGTCTTTCTTCTGTTATAATACCTCACATTTATCTGGGTTGAACAACATTAGCTAGCTGTCCTCCCACTGCTGCAAGCTGTTGAGGTCGTTTTGCAAATCTAACTTATCTCAGTCTGATGATTCAGGAGTTAAATTTGATGATGACTCTGATTTCTAGTGTCAGTATATGGGAAAAATTGAATTGAGTTTGAAACTACTCATGTTTTTGGTATTGTTTGGTATAAAATTTGTCACTATTGAAAGCCACCAAAAAGCTTCCAAATTACACCATCCATTTTGAACCATAAAAAAAAAAGGAAACCCCTGGCATCCCGCCCCTCTCCCCGTCATCACTAACTTGACTCGGGCACGCCGCTATGCGGCGTGCATTGTAGCCTGCTACTTTTAACTATCAACCTGGTATTTTTAAATTTGTGGAGAATACTGTCCTAGAGTCCTCTGGTGTTTTGGACTTCCTGTAGAATAACACAAAGTGATTACATGTATATTATATTTCAATGCCAAACTTTAACCATCCTTCCATTCTGGGAGTGGATTCCTCCACCTCCCAATGGTTCCCATACAGAGGCTAAATACAAACATTTATAATAGGAAACAAAATGCACGTCTGTATTTTTAAACCCAGACATGAACCCACCATGTATTATCTTCACAATATTTATGTGTATGCATATGGTGGAGGTTTTATAGCTGTTCTGCTTGTTAGCTACAGTAACTCACCCAGACCACATCAGACTAAACTCAAGGCAGGTGAGGTGAGCAACAGGAGTTAAGTGACTTGCTCAACAAAGCAATGGCATCATGTCACCTGCATGAATCACACCTCTGACTTTATCAGGGGTCGGCATTAACTAGTCCGCTTGTCATGGACAAGCAGATTTTAGCAAGGTCTAGTGAATCACCTAACCTAACTGGTCCTTTGGACTTGGTAAAAATATGATCATAAAATAAGAACATATCTTTTTAAAATTTAGAAAACAGCTTAAAATAAAATGTATTGCAAGCAAAAAAAGTTAATGTCTAACCCTGGCATGTATTAGAGCTTATACACTAGTGGCAGTGCTTTACATGTACTGCCATTTCTTTTAATTAGTAAATCAATAATTTATACAGGTAATTTAGTATGTCAACATTCTCCTTTGTAAGTCTAGCTAGATGATTGAATTTAAAAGTCAATTTTCATCGCCATCGTTCTCAGAAAGATTGACATGTTGTTTTATAAGGGCACAGCTGCAAATTATATTTTGGGTAGTAAGTTCATTGTTGTGTTTGTCGACATTGAATAATTGGGTTGGCTATATTACCTTCCGTATGATGTAGTTATGAAAGAATCTGAGGTTTATTATTTTTACGTTTTAACTTTTGTGATTCCTAAGAATTGTTCTTTGAGGCAGCATTAGTGAAGCAGAAAATGATTGTAGCCTGTAATATAGCTCACCTTTTACAGCAGAATGATTTAATATTTCAGGATTTTGTACACATGGCTGAAATGTGATCTCGCTACACAAGCAAGATCATGAGTTGGTGGAATGCTAGCAGCTTCTCGGACCTTGCCTCTCAGGCAATCAAAAATGCACAAAAGAAAATTGACAAAGTTCTGGAAATTGATGAAGAAGGATTAAAGGAAACAAAACCATGTAAGACTTGGCAAAATAATAGATATTCAATAAGAATTTCTAGGAATGCAAATTATGAGTAAATATTCTATCAGAGACAGTGGTAATTTGTATGTTTATAAACGATAGATCAAATAGCAAGCTACAGATATTCATGTAATCTCTAGATTTAATTTGTTAAATATGAATAGAATTAAATGTTGCACAGAATACAGCTATCCATATAATGAAATGTTTTGGAAAAGATAAGACTACATGTTGTGCCATAGGTTAGATCTAAAATAGATATAATCTGTTGAAGAAGTGGTCAGTGAAGGACTGTTTTCAGATTTTAACTGTCTTATTTTTATTATTCTGTTCCTTACAGCTACCATTAACAAACCTACAAAGGAAGAGACTTCTAAACAAGAAACTAAAGATGATTTCTGGAACACATGGGTACCTTCTCCCCAGTCTGAGGGGGCAGAGGGAGCAACAGAGAAGGAGGGGGCTAGGAGCTCATGGTCCACTATGCCTTGGGGTTCAGTCCATCAAGATCTAGAACCCAAGAAAAAAACAAGTCCAACTTTACCAACCTCTCCTGAAAGCAAAGGAATGAAGCAGAAAGCATTAGATCCTATATCTACTACAGTGCAACAGTCTGGCGTCAGTAAAAAGGCAGGTCATAGTGCTAAGTCAGAGGGGAAAAGTTCAAAGCGAAGTACAGACAAGGTTACGAAAAATAGTTCTGACAATGATAGGAAAGCGGTAGGCAATATTCCAGTAGTGGAAAGTAAAGAAAAGGTGGAGAATTGGGATTCTTCCTCAGCCTGGTCTAGTGAACCACTGATAGCCTGGCAAGGTGAAGGTCAAGAGAGTGGTGCTGACCTTGATCTTGAAGGCTCACAACATGCATCATTTCAAGGTAAAGGCCAGGAATTAAGGCCTGACTCAAATTATAAAAAGCCAAATAAAGAAAACGAGGAAAGTTTGACAGATCTTTGTCCTGGTAACAAGGAATTGAAGATGCTGGAAAAAGAGGATTCAAAAGGAGATAAAACAAAGGAATTATTACCAGAAGATAGTGATCAGACTATAAGTAGCAAGACATTAGATAAGGATCTATCTGATTCACTATTGGATGATAAAAGTACTGACTGTAAAACAGACAAATCCAGTAGTATATCTGTGATAGAGTCTGTAGAAGGGGTGATTTCTTTCAGTGATGACAGTGATGGGAAATGTGACCAGTCCAGCAGTGTGTCACTCCTACAGACTGACTCAGGGGAGATGTTTCCATGTCATAGTGAGGGAATCGAGGACCACACAATAGATTTAGATAGTGTTGTGATTCAAACGAGCGAAACTCAAGATTCAGGGATGGCATCTTCTGTGATGGACCATGAAGTAAAGGAAAGTCCAAATCCAGCAGATACGGGATCTGAATTGGTGATATGTGAAAACATTGACACTGAAAAACATGCAAGTGAAGGGAAAGATTCTGAAACACAAGATGATAAAGAAGAAGCCTTAAGTGAATCTACAAGTGACCCAGGTAGTGTTATGACAAAAATAGATTTGAAGGAAACTTCAGTTGATGCAGACAATGTTCTTGCCCAATCCTCCATTTCCAGTGGGTCAGGTGAAGGCACAATGGAAGAGATTATTAAAGATCCTGGGGTTACTGAAATAGATGTGTTAGAAAGTTTAGGGAGCGTGCACAGCCCCTCAACTTGTAGTTCTTTGTGCTCATCAGACACTAGTAAACTGGACAGTAGCATGGACACACACACCTCCGAAGACACAGTGGTGGACAATCGAGGAGAGGACGAACGTGTAGGGGAGATAAGTCAGGAGGAAGAGATCAGTGCAGGGGAGGTAACTCCAGAGGAGGCTAGTTATAAGGAAGTAACTCAAAATACAATGTCTGGTTCAGTTCAAGTTTCTCAGCAGGAAACTGGTGGTCAGGATTTGGCAGAAATCCAAGATGATTCTCATAAAATTACAGATAGCATGTTCAGTGTATCGTCAAGTAGTTCATATGTAAAGTGTATGATAGAAGAAGCTATGGAGGACAACAGCAGAAGTGAGGATAACAATAGTGATTGTCATTCCACTGGAGGAGAGAAATCGGAGTGTTCTAGGAGCACCGGAGGACAGGAATCTGGTGATGATATTGACACCACAACATCATCGGATATTGAAATAATTTCTACACCAAATTCTATAAATAATGGTGAACCCAACAAAATGGTGGATCTGTCACCACTGAAAATTGCATTACAGAAAACAGCTCGACGTGAAAGTCCCACCCACAGAAGGACAGACAGTGCGTCAAGTTCCAGCACCCACAGCCGTGAAGGTCAAGGGGAACAACTGAGTCCTGGTCGAGACAGTCTGGAGGATGAAAGCCAGTATGGTGAGGACAGAGATCTTCCAATTGACAAGCAAAGTAAATTTTGCTTTTATTGTTACTTTGCTTTTGCTCTTTGCTTTTTTATTTTATTGAGAACGTTGTATAAAACATAATTATGAAAATGTAAAAACAACTTTTCATTTTTCTAATTTTTGTAATGAAATTGATATGATATGACTGCTACCTGATCACCAATGTACTACTGATCTGTAAATTCTTTAAATAGTTCCTCCTATAGTCCTTGGGCAATAGACACAAGTATTAACTTTGTACCAGATTTAATAATGATGTCAGTTATACTGAATATGTTAACTTATTCTAGACAAATCAACAGGTAGTTAAAACAGTGTGTCAAATTCTTGTAACAAATTTGAAAAAGAAATCAGAGTTGATGTAGACATTCATTATTTACACATTTTATTACAGGTAAGGGTCACTAATTTGTAGGATCGTTAATAATATTTAGAACAACTTTCTTCATCTTTGCCCTACCATGTATATTAATCAATCTAGTGTCTACATGTACATACTACATTTGTGTTTGGTTCTATTTGTAGAGCTGGCTCCAGTCCGAGAGGAGAAGGGAGACCCTTATATGATCCCACAGAAAGTGTTGAAAGTAAGAATAAGTGGTATGGGTACAGGGGTGGGGATCCTATACAAACAACACAGGTGTGATTAGAGGTGGCACCGTCTCACGTCTCAGACACAGGCTGTGTATTTATACATGTACTGACACACGGTTTGTGTTGTGACACTGATATTTGGGGGCAGGCTTTCCGTCAATAGGGTTACTGGTACATAGGGAGCTGGTCAAGTGTAAAGAGATCTGTAATGCATGGGTATAAGTTATTTTGTTTGTTATGTTCATGACACTGTTTATGTAGGTCATGGAATGTGAAGTAGTTGTATTGGAGTGTCTAACGTTTACAGGTGCATCTGAATGACTTAGAAGCTTCTTTCTTAATTTCATTATTTTGCCAATTACAGTACTAATTTTGTGTAAGCTTATAAGGCATGTAGTACCTAGGACCGAGTCTTTTTTTGTACCATATATACACCCTGGAGATCCCTACGCATACTTGAACTATTATTTGAATTAAAATATAATTATGATGTCCTTGTTTCTTTGGTAAAATGTTTAGACTAGAACTCGAAAAACCTCTGTAACCTTTCATATACACCTAACAGGGCTAGAAAATAAGCGTATACCGATAGTCTGGGACTAGTGAAATCTGCTGGACTAGTGGTCCTAAAAACCAGTAGTCCGGTTGACTAGTTAAAATTTGATATTACTATACTTATCATGTTGAATAATATTTGGTTTGTGGAATTTTCATATGGACTAGTTAAAGTGGAAACTACTAGCCTAACTGATTACTGGTTTTGAAAATTATTTTCTTGTCGTGCACTTAATTGCTAACATTCAGGTTGAAAGAGTAACTGTATATGCCTGATAAATGCTAAGTTTGTTTTGAGCACAAATGATAATTGAAGAGTTATATGGCAAGCTTTTTTAAAACAGCTATTCCTTTTTGTCAACCAAAGAGTGCAAATGACCGGTGTCTCCACTGGAAACCCCTTAAAACAGCTCACTTCATACATCTGCCTGAGATTCATTGATAAGTCATGATCATATACTTAAAAGCACAGATTATGATACATTTTAAAAGGTTATTGGTACTAGCATGTATATTTACATGTACGAGTTCTTGTGGTCTGTATATATATACAATGTATATCAATATCACATGAATGTATATATCTGTCTATACTGCTTCTTTAGAGGGACTCAATGTAGTCTACTTTGCCAGTCATACATATAGGTGTATATCATAGTTTGCTCTGAGGAAACTTTATATCTAGATCTTTAGACAAATCTTATTTTTAGTATTGAGAATTTTCAAAAAACTGAGACCTGACATTTTTTCTTGTTTCCCCATAGATAAAGTATTTTCTTGTACTGTCTCTAGCAGGGCTGCAACAATATGCATACCTTACGTTACGATGCCTATCATGGTATTTTTAAGCTTACGATTCGATATGTATCACGATACACATATCTGCTCACAGGTCAACTTCATAATTATTGAGTGCAGGATTTTACAGATTTGTCAGAGTTAATTATGTATGCATAGTAAATTGCTGTCAAAAGATATTTTCATATTTAGTACTTTTGCACAGACGACCAATAAAAAAAGATTGATTATTTCAGTACTGTTAGTGTAATGCGATACAGGCAAAGGAAATGATTCAAAACGATACACAAGAACGTATCGCGATACGATACGGTACAATATATTGTTGCAGCCGGAGTCTCTAGTGGATTTATGTGTGAAGGACAGTTATTTCTAGCTTCCACATTTCAGCCTTGAAAGTCCAATTGTGTTTTTTTTAAACAGTTACAGATAATTAGTGTGTGAAATAATTTTACACTCTATTCGTCTGCTAACAATATTTTTGTTAAAATATAATTATCTGCAGTTAGGGTCAGTGTAATGAATATTGTAAGTGACAGTCCATATATTTATTATCCTTTTTTTTGTGTTAACTTGTGAAAAGGTATGTGTGTTGCTATAACCTTCAAATGGACATGTACTGAGTGTCCATATTACCTTGAATCCTGTACCTTTACTTCAAAGATCTTGGTTTAATATCAAAAGTAGTTCAAGCAATTTAAAGCATGTGAAGAACAATGTGTATAATATGCATAGTGCCATTGTTCTTGAATCAAATTTTTTCCCCTATTCAAATTTACTTTCCTTGTATTCATATATAAATCTTTACAGTATTAGTTTTAGTCCAATTTTTTTTTTCCAGACCACTATATGGAAATACTTGTCTAGTGACGATACTGAAATTTATGATAGATACTAGAACTCGTCATTCCTGTTTTGCATCCTCTGCCATTGACCATTGCTCTGGTGACAAATCCACAAGCTTTAAATAGAACATTCTGATATATACAAAGTGTACACATACCTAGTACTTTATTATCACATCATAAATCACATGATTTGCTTGTATTTAAAGAAACGGCGCCTTATGAGAGGATGTACTGTAAGTCTTGGAGTAGGGCTTGTTACCTTTTTAACCAGATATATGGGGGTAGAAGTTTCAAGATTGTAAGTCTTCTGAAAATTAGCAAGGTGTTACCCATGATAGGTTGAACTATATGCAATCGATAAAATATCAGCTTTTGGGGAAAAATTGTCATTTTGAGTACAACAATCAAACTGATTCTTCCAGTATTGTATGTCTGTCCATTGCAATTATCACTGGGTCTTCTAGTTATCATCTTGTAGTCAAAGTTTTGATTGAACTTACAACTATTGGTCCCCTCTGCTTACTCAATAGGCTCTTCAAGAGTTAAAAGAACGTTCTGCGATATCATTGCCTCAGGGATCAAAGTGATTGAAAGGTTATGCTGTATCAAGTCTTAGAGAAATATCATTTGCGCTAGTGTATGTCATGTGATTAACACTAATAACTTTCACAGCTTTGCCAGGTGTGATGAAACCACTTACCACTTACCTTTGGCATTGTTTGTTTCATTTGTCGTTAGTTTCATTACTTACTAATTAGGCCATTGCATGTACCACAGAAAAAGAATTCAATATTGAAAGAGATAAATTACTCGTCAGTTACGAACTGATTATATTTGATAGAATGTTTTTATTCTTAATTTACTAAAAGTAACGGCGATGGTGAAGTAAGTCAATGTAGGTATACTAGCTGTTGTCATGAGACCAGCGTTACAGGACATGAAGGTGGTATCCTTAAGACTACTGGAAACAGTTCTAGGTGGTATCCTTAAGACTACTGGAAACAGTTCTAGGTGGTATCCTTAGGACTACTGGAAATAGTTCTAGGTGGTATCCTTAAGACTACTGGAAACAGTTCAAGGTGGTATCCTTAAGACTACTGGAAACAGTTCTAGGTGGAATCACAAACAAGTGACTAATTCTTCTTAATACAGCTATGCTAGGTTGATTTTAGATGTATCAGCAAATTGATTAACCAATAATTATGTTTTAAATTCTGGTAAAAAGTAAACAATTGCTGGGTAAAAAATGAATGAAAACAGAACGAAACCTACTAAATATGTAACAGGAGAAAGAGAAATATTCGGTGAGACTGGGGTTCGAATCCGGGACCCTCCAAACTTTAGACGGACATTCCTCCATTCCTCCAACCTTTAACAAAGTGTTCAACCCCGAAGACACACAAGACCCTATACCACCTTCTGTGGGTATATTTCATGGGGCGCCAAATTTGTAACAGGAGAAAGAGAAATGCATGGCCAGACCAGGGTTCGAACTCGGGACCCTCCAAACTCTAGATGGATGCTCTACTAATTGAGCAATCTGGTTTCCGACAATCGACCCATGGCCAGTCCAGTTCCGACACAAATGTATATAAAGTCATTTTATTTTGCCCTTTTATTTGCAGTTTATAATGACTGCCATGTCATTGCATGCTGTTTCTCATAACACATACTTCGGACTTGACTAATGAAAATGAGTAAGAACATGAGTAAAAAGGTTTTCCAGTAAATGGTTCAGTAATTGAGAATTTATTGTGTATTTAGCAGAATACTTATAATCTTGAAACTGTTTCTCAGAGTTTCCCATTTGCGTACTTTAGTTCCATAGGACCTGTTCCAGACTGGCTATCAGTGTCTGTGATTATCACTTACATGTGTACTTCCCTATCTATATATTGACTTGAACAAGTCTACAGGCTATTGACCAGATATATAGATATATTGATCAACACATATTAGACTTGTTCATGTCTATAGAAAGGAAATCATCATATAGACTGTTAGCCAGTCTGGTCTTATTTGCTTAAGCTTCAAATTGAGGGTTGTTTTCAATTCTATAGATACATATATAGCTAGGTTGTTGGTTATTGAGATATGTTTTACGTTTCTTATTTACTGCTAATTATACTGTTGTTTAACCTACTGTATATACAAAAAGATACAATTGTTATAAAGTAGAAAGATTACAATTGTATAACCAAGTAAAGTACAATTGGTAGACTAGGTACAGTAAGATACAATTTTTAAACCAAGATAAAAAACAATTGTTGAACTAAGTACAATAATGTACAATTGTTTAGCGAAGTACAATAATGTACAATTGTTTAGCCAAGTACAATAGTGCAAAATTGTTTAGCCAAGTACAATAATGTACAATTGTTTAGCCAAGTACAATAATGTACAATTGTTTAGCCAAGTGTAATAACTAGCTTGTTATGTCATATGAGTAACATGTAATCTAAGTACAATAATGTACAATTGTTTAGCCAAGTGTGATAACTAGCTAGGCTATGTCATATGAGTAACATGTAACCTAAGTACAATAATATACAATTGTTTAGCCAAGTGTGATAACTAGCTAGGCTATGTCATATGAGTAACATGTAACCTAAGCACAATAATGTACAATTGTTTAGCCAAGTGTGATAACTAGCTAGGCTATGACATATGAGTAACATGTAACCTAAGCACAATAACATATATGAAAAGAAACTCGCTTAACAGTAGAACTTTTAAGAAAAAAATCAGTTCAAATTTTATTTTATTTCGTAATGTTGAAAATAATTGGAAATCTTTAATTGATCTGGAATATGTTATGGACATTTCTACATTACTGGTATTATTCAATATTGAAATTATCACTTGATACCAATTTATTTGGTTTTCTGTTTTATTTAGACATGCTATTATTATATAAACATTTCCAATATTTTCCTTAGGGATGATTCATGTATAGTTTCCTACCTGGCTAATATGTGTTCTAGTATTTCTACAAGTATGGGGAAATTCACTACCCAGACATGCATGCTTGACCGCAACAATGTATTTTTCCATTTAGTGTAGAAAATTTAATCAAAATTACCTATTTCTCACACTTATTGAAATCAACATTTAGGGACATAATTATCTTGTTTTCCAAAAAAAGTTGTGATTGTGGAGTCTGATAATTTCTTTTTGAATTAAGAGGTATTTCTTGAACTGAATTTTTTGAAGCCTCATAATTATCAGGGATTTATTAATTATACTTTGAAAAATATCTAAATTTTTGTAAACTTTGAAATTACATTCACCATTTGTAAAAATAAATGTGAATAAATAAAAATCTGACTGTTCGATTGTAACCTTCCAATTGTTAGTTAAGACAATTTGATTTGATATTGATATTTATTTTAAAAGTTTCTATCACAATTTAGTCTAAAGGGTGTTAAGATCAACTATAAGTTGTACAGTGGAACCTTGTTAGTCTTGACACTTTGGTGTCGGGGAAAATAAATAGAATTTAAAAGAATTAATATTTGCATTTTATTAGTGTTTGTGTTGCTGATCCTGAGGTTCCATTAATTATTATACCAAGGACTAATCTAAATCAGTTAGGCATAAGTGAGAATGAGGAGATTTAAACAGGTTTTTGATACAGTATTTCATAGAGATTTTATTATATATTATGCCTGTGTTTGTCGTGACAGTTACAGTAGATAGGCTGTGGTATAAGTGCTAGCCTATTTCAGTTACAGACTGTGCCTGAACACACTGAAGTTCGTCTGACTCGAGACAGCTACTGCGATTCCACATCTACTAGCATGGCCTCCGAGGTTTGGGCGGTCTTTAATTAGCGGTGGCATTATATATCTCTAACTTTGTCTTTGTCTTTTTCTCCTGCATCTTGCTTCAGAGGGTGTGTTTTTTTAGCTTGACTTTCCACCTAAGTTTTAAATGTGTGTGTTTTTTTATGTTGCATGCAATAAAAATGTTGGTATGTTTAATGTATTTGCAGTCGGTAAGAACTAGCACTTGAAAATAATTGTGTGATACGAGACTGATACCTGTTATCTTCCTTAAAAATGTAACCGATACTTTTCTTTTTAAATTAATATACCTGGTAATCTATTACAGCTAGGTGCAGCTTGTTTATGGAGTGTCATGCAAAACATCCTCTTGCCCACTAGAAGGGTTACATTGGAAGGGATACTCAGATTCTGTGTAGTTCTCCATGGCACAAGGGCTAGACAACTGACAATTTTCACCACAACAATAATGAGATGTCTCGGCGACAGTGAAAATCCTGTCATAAAACTGTCCTGACATTTCAGAAGTCTGGGCTGTTTTCAGCATATTACTGTATGGTTTTTATACAGAAATGTAGTAATGGGAAACAAATGTACTTCAATCAGCATTTTGGAATATATAAATGGATTCCTATCTGTAGGATTAACTATTTCTAAAATAGCCTAAACATCTTAAGCGTTAAAATATCGATATCTCCTATTCTTGAAGCAATTCAAACCCAAAGGATGAAGTAAGACTATGACATCAGTGTTTTATGTCCGGGAACAACAGTTAGGTTTTTAACTCATTCACCCCTGAAGACACATTTGAACTCTTCCAATTCAAAGGTTGGAATAGTTCATTATGAAATTTCAGGGATGAATGAATTAATGTACCAGCACTGTATTTATACATGGTATTGAGTGTGATAAAATCCACCCCATTGTAACTCAACATGGCATTTTCCTTATCTACATGACAAATCTAATTTGGACAGTTTACTATATTTTAACTATAATTTAAACTCATTGTCTATAAACATATATTCCTATAGGGAATGCAATAATATTAATGAACTTGTAAGATAATGAACAAAATTTATAATTTAGATATTAATGATATGAAATGCAGTCATTTTTGAAAAGCAATATTCCATCACACTTTCCAAAGATCTCTCGAGGGCTGATCTACTCTATCAGCATCATCAGTACTTTTGTCTCACAGCTGGAAGAGGTCAGAGGTCAGATCATGCTGTGCCAACCTCTCACCTCATTAGCTTGGTAATTTCACTGAAGAAATTGCAGGTGTGCCGAGTTTTTGGACTACCTCCCTGAAAAGAAAAGTCGAGACAAAAGTGAAGATATACAAATAGTTTTAACAAGTTACTTCTTTATCTATTAGTAATTGAAATAGAGGTAAATTAATTCAGTAATAAACACTCAGCACAATACTCACTTGGTATATATTATCAATAAATCAGAAATACACTAACAATTTCCACTATACATGTAATTATTATCTCCTGCAACTACATGCCTATATTATGTGTAGAATTTTACTGCTTCATGCTGTTAATTCATATAACTACCTAAAACCAAAAATAATGATACACATATCAATGTCTTATTACCCTTGAAAAAGTTGTGAATTTTTCATCAATTTTTAAAATGAAACCTTTTTGTGAATTTTTCATCAATTTTTAAAATGAGACCTTTTTGAGGAATTTAAAATTTTCTTTTCTGCTTTTTTTTTAATGTGTAAAGAAAGGGAGGAGTTAGCTTAAAGCTTCAAGGTTTATGCTACATATCTTCAGTGGAACTTGGATAAAGCCCTCAGTCTCACACAGTACATCTACACTGAATATCTAGTATGTACATAAAGAAAACAGATCAAATTGTTATAGGTGTGTTTATAAAGGTATTAAACCAGGATATAGGTCTGTAGGCCTTAATGGAGAAAACACAGAGGGAAGAAATCAGCACTTCGAAACACAAGAAACCTCTGACTGGATGTAGTTTCTAAAGAAACAGGACTATTTTAATGAATGACCATATTTTAGGCACTGGATATCTTTCATACCTTATTTTCTGATTAGCAAAAATCTTTTTTTTAGAATGGCAATGTTTCACTTTAGAGCTTACAGGTTAGTGTGAAAGTTGGCTTCTCCTGAGATAATATAATGGTTTTGACTGTACAGCAGATCAAAATTTGTACTTGTGAACAGGCTTCCCTAAGGGGGGGGGGTCATAGGGGGTCACTTTATGCAAAATCTTCAATCAACATTTCTTCTGTAAGTTACTGGTAGATTATGACCAACGTTTTGATGAAATCATTGATTGTTCACTATGTACCCCATTGCACTACACTTGACCCACTGAGCTTTTATTCATATGTATTTAGATCTACATAACAGTACATGACATTTTTGGTTTCACTCAGGTGACCATTTATGCCCGTGTACCTCTTGTTTTTTCCCATACATATAATGTGATAAATGTACTAGTAAATAGGGTGATTGGTAAGGTTAACTGTTTAAAGTGATATATATATATATCTTGTAGAGTACAACTACCAACAACACTCCTACTCCCCCCATCTCACCTCAGACTGGTATCTCTGCTGGGGGCCAGGTAAGCTGTGTGTCACTTGTCCACACTTCTCTTGCTAGTCCAGACTCTGTGCTTTACTATTTGTACAAGTTTCTGCACTTTGTTGTGAGAGTTTTTAACAAGCTAATTATAACCTCATTCCCTACCCCCATATAAGGTAAGGGACATTTTGAAGTCACTTTGTTCGTTCATCCATGCATCCTTGTCTGTGCTGCAGTTAATACCCTGTCCATACCATTTATCTTTTAACTGGCTTAACCTTTCTTTGTGAAACATCACAGACATATTAACAGATTGTGTGTCACATAACACACTTACAAGGTCAAGGTCAGGTCAGAAATCAGATAAGTTTAAAGCTTCCCTGGATCATATCTTCTTAATGGCTGAACCTTTCCTTATTAAACAACATACATGTATGTGTTGACCAGTGTGTTGTATAGCACATTCAGAATCATACTCTTAAAGTCAAGTTTGTGACAAGGGTTCAAAGGTCAAATCTTTAAAAACCTGCCTTATACATTCAGGTCAGTATTAAAGAGTAAGGATATGACAAATGGTCAAAAGCACAAAAATAAATATATTAAATTTTTTGTCCAAACCATAGCTTATAATTATCACCTTCAGGTTTTCTTATGAAACTTTCTAGCTATGCTATATCATAGTTGAACACAGTGGTATTGTGGAACACTCCAGAAAGGTCAAGGTGGCATGACAAAGGGCAAGGTGGGTAAACCCTAGTGAGCCTCATAATCAGCTCACTTAGTTGTGACTGTAAACTTCATGCTTTTGTTTATAGCTGGATATATTGACGTTATTTCAGATACTTTATTTGACTTTTGTGTTACTTTATTTGACTTTTGTGTTACTTTATTTGACTTTACTTTATTTGATTTTTGTGTTACTTTATTTGACTTTTGTGTTACTTTATTTGACTTTACCTTATTTGACTTTTGTGTTACTTTATTTGACTTTTGTGTTACTTATTTGACTTTTGTGTTACTTTATTTGAGTTTTATGTTACTTTATTTGACTTTTGTGTTACTTTATTTGACTTTTGTGTTACTATATTTGACTTTTATGTTACCTGACTTTTTTGTTACTTTATTTGACTTTTATGTTACTTTATTTGACTTTTGTGTTACTTATTTGACTTTTGTGTTACTTTATTTGAGTTTTATGTTACTTTATTTGACTTTTGTGTTACTTTATTTGACTTTTGTGTTACTTTATTTGACTTTTATGTTACCTGACTTTTTTGTTACTTTATTTGACTTTTATGTTACTTTATTTGACTTTTGTGTTACTTATTTGACTTTTGTGTTACTTTATTTGAGTTTTATGTTACTTTATTTGACTTTTGTGTTACTTTATTTGACTTTTGTGTTACTTTATTTGACTTTTATATTACTTTATTTGACTTTTATAACTCAATGTTATCTCTCACTTTATTAACGCTGTCTCTTCTTGATGTCATATTCTATAAAACTTCACAGACTGACTCGGCTACTGGTACATGCTTTTATCCAAAGAAATTTTTGTTAATACTGGATCTGAATATTTTATTTAAAATGATGGATATTTATTTCATGAACCAACTCAGCATTTTAATGTTTACAATAATCAATCAGTTTCAAAACACTTGACATGTTCTGTGAGACAACAGGGAAGGGAGTCTGTAAACCTTGTCTGATATTCAGGCTGTGGTTGGGGAGAATGGCACAGGTCAACTTGTCGTTGATGGCAGGACACATGATTTCACATGTATCTGTTCTGGTGTTAGTCTCCTATGATGGTCACTCTATTTGGTCATACTTAAGGATCCCTGTACCACTGCCAGAAAACTTGGTAACTATACATTGGGAACTTTTTTCCAGTATGACTGTATATTTGATAAATCATTTCTGAAAAGAAAACTATACCTTGTGGAAGTTTTATGATTTTTTTTATATAAAGATGAAATAATCAAAAGAAATCAACTTTACTGCAATGAACCAGACCAGGATTCGAACCCAGGATCTTTGATGGTTATACTGTGGCTCTTACCAACTGAACTACCTGCATGGTTAACGGTTGTGTTCTGGCCTAGTCACGTTACAGTCGTATAAATATGAAATAAATGGGCTGTTACTGCATTTATGAAAAAGTACATCATTATTATACCACAAGGTCATTGTTGTACCACAAGGTCATTATTATACCACAAGGTCATTATTATACCACAAGGTCATTGTTGTACCACAAGGTCATTATTATACCACAAGGTCATTGTTGTACCACAAGGTCATTATTATACCACAAGGTCATTATTATACCACAAGGTCATTGTTGTACCACAAGGTCATTATTATACCACAAGGTCATTGTTGTACCACAAGGTCATTATTATACCACAAGGTCATTATTATACCACAAGGTCATTGTTGTACCACAAGGTCATTGTTGTACCACAAGGTCATTGTTGTACCACAAGGTCATTATTATACCACAAGGTCATTATTATACCACAAGGTCATTGTTGTACCACAAGGTCATTGTTGTACCACAAGGTCATTATTATACCACAAGGTCATTGTTGTACCACAAGGTCATTGTTGTACCACAAGATCATTGTTGTACCACAAGGTCATTGTTGTACCACAAGATCATTGTTGTACCACAAGGTCATTGTTATACCACAATGTCATTGTTGTACCACAAGGTCATTGTCCTAATACAAGCTGTTCATATAGTTTACTTAGTTTGTGTAATCTAAAACAAAACTTGGTCTTTATTAAAATGCTGGTACCTACATGTGTTTCTATTAAGTCAAAGTGTTTTCAGTTTTAGGGAATAATGATCAATGCTCTACTATCAGTTAAGTGCTTATACATGCATATTAAAACAGCGACAGACTAGAGTATCATTTGGGTGATTTTCAATATAATCATGGTAAAAATATGAATATATATGTACACATATTTTATAGTTGCTAGTTATCCGGGGTGTAAGAATTCAATCTCGCTCTCAACCTCTGTTTTGCTTAATTGTTTTAGGCAAGTTTATACTTCATTTTTTGTTTAATTATCATTATCCAATTCATACAAATAAGATTAAAATAATTGATGATCTCACCACCTGCCCTTCAGCAATGATGGGGTACCTGGCATTAAATATTTATACTTTGTGTGCTGATATCTTCTCAAAAACAATACATGGTACTTGAATTCTCATTTTGCGTTCCTGAAATAAAAAAATCCCCTGTAAAAATACGCAACTATTTGTTGAACAGTATCCAGTGTCCGATGTGTCACAGTCCATGGATTGTGGAAACCTTCAAGGAATCCAGCAAAGAAATATTTTATCAAACTGAAAATGTTCGTTGGTTTTGAGAAACGCTGTAGGTCCAGTAATAAAACCTGTGAATTAAACAGGATTGCAGTGTACTGATTAACACGCTAACAACGATATATGGGAGTATTTCCTGGACTTATATATTTGAAACACTTTTTTCTCTTAATTATTTCTTACTGTTTTCAGTTTACGCTTCAAATAATAAAAATAACAAATTTGCATTACAACTTTAATACAAAAAGATGTTTGTGTGTTTTTGAAAATAAACCTTAAACATTCTGTAGACCTGCTGCAGTTATATGTATCTGTAATGATGTAATAGGAAGTAATATCTTGATGATTATCTTTAATGTTTAATTGATTCCAGATCTAGAAGATATAAATTTAACATCAACGAAATGTTTTACTTTTATAAGGTTTAATGACTAAGTAAAATTAAGGTCAAATTAGGTTGAGCTGACTTTAACAGCCTCGTATAACTGTTCCTAATGTTAGACAATTTGAGAAATAAAAAGTTATTTCACTGAGTATGAGGAAGCAAGTATTGATACAGATTCTATCATAACTACATAACTTACAAGTTTTTGAACACAGCTTAAACCTTATTTGTATATTGTATTTACTCAGTATGTATCTTCTTCTTTTATCTAATAACAAGTTTTCATAATTGAAATTTGAATGTCAAATTCTAAACATTGTTTTGAACTGGCAAGATATCTGATATGACTGTAAATAACTGGTACATCCTGGTAACTTTGAGCTATTTGGAGAGTAGTGATTGACAAGAATCTTGTAAAATATCAGACATGTGCCTTTAAAGTAAATTTTCCGTTACATTCTTCAACTTCATGATTTCTTTTACTTAAGATTATAGAAGAACATACATGTATATAGCTTTGTATGTGCATGCAATGTACATGTAGATGACATGCTTTGTAAGGAAGGACTTCATATTTCTATTAAAATTGACATATGATAAACTAATCTAAAGAATTAGTGTGTGGTGCGTTTTTCAGAAAATGGCAGAAATGGAAGAAGTTATCCTGGCTAGAGAAAGTAAACTGGTACAGCTAAGTAAGGAAAACAACGACCTGTTAGAGACCAACAGTATCTTACGCAAGTAAGTACCACATATCTACGCCCAAGCAGTAATGCTGTTGTCTTTATTGATATAATTTTTAACTCACATCTCAATATTTTATACAGGGGATCTAACACTGAACACAACACAAAGAAGCAAAGAAATTGCATCATTTAATAGAAATATTTTGAAGTAGTAGTGAAACCTCTGGTGTTAGTGACTGTTATCTTATCCCACCATTTTAAATTGAATCTGTGTCACTGCAATATGCATGTACCAGCAAAACAGTTAGATATTGTGCTTTCTGTTAGTAATGGGATGACAAAAGAGCTTCTTAAAAAAGTAATTGATGTACTGAACATTTCAATTGTTTCTTTAAACTTTTACAAACCTTTATACATATCTACTTCCTATTTGCATAAAATATGTGTATTCATATGTACTCTGTAATTGGTAAATGTTACTTCTTTCCACTGTATATTTTTATCTAAATTGAAGTTGAAGTTTTAATCCAGCATATACTCCCCCTTTCTCTTAAAAAATGATCTATTTATACTGTAACTATGACATCCTCCATTACAGCCAGATACAGCAGCTGGAAGAAACGCGAGAACTTGAATTGGAGGATGTGAGCAAGGTTTCCACAGAGTTTGCCGGTAGAATTGCAGAGTCTGAGAAAAAACTAAACAGTGTGATACGGGTACTTTTCAATTTGTAACCTTTCTGAGTAACCAAGGTGAAGGTCAATATGTTAAGTATATATTTGTTATTAGTCCCCCACCAGTACTGCTAGAGAGTACTTTAACTTTGCACCCTGTCCATCCGTAGATGATGACAATAAAATCTAGTTGATTTGGCTAGATGTATAAGCTGTAAGTCTACATACACTTATAAGGTAGCTGACTTGCCTTGTCAATGTTATTGTCATCTTCTACGTGTTATATTTGTTAGTTAACATACTCAGTCATTTGTCTGATGAAGGTGACAGAACATAGTGTACAAGTCATCAAAATGGAAGATAAACTTTTCACCTGTCATGCTGTATGAACCTTAAAATATTCTCTTATGCTGGTAAAAGTAAAACTTAATGAGTCACTGCATTTTTTTGGGAAATTCTTGTTTAGAATTGCTTCTTAGGTTCAATGGTCAAAGGTCAAGGTACTATTTATTGATGTCACAAAGAGTAGAATTTGATCAGGCAAATATGTCAGTATTCAGAATTAAGGCATGTTATTCCTTAAATTCAACACTGAACGGGAGATTAGTATTTCTCAGCATTACCTGTTTTTTACAATAAGATCAGTCTGTAAATTCAACATGACTATAAACAGTCCTATTTTAGTAATGCTACAAACCTAACAATGTTTGTATCTATATGTGCGTAGTAAAAGTTTTATACTTAACAGAAATTGAGCTGGTCCCTTTTTGTATTGGCAGGAAAGAGATACAGCAAGGAAAGACCTACAGAAATCTTTTGATGATTTTGCTAAAAAGTAAGAAACTTTTGAGTGATCATTAGTTTTATATAACACTGAAAATAAAACATAACAACATGCTCACTATTCCTCATAAATTATTTTACAATAAGCAAAATTTTATTTTGCATATTGGATGCTTACAATTAGAGAAATAAAACTTAGCTTTCATTTCAAAGCTTAATTTGTACTCTAAAGCTATTAGTTGGAAGATTATCTAAAGATTTCATTAGAAAATTTAGAAAATTTGGAGGTTTTAGTCAGCTTTTATTTTAAATGTTGTTTTTCATTTTCAGAGTCCGAGGATTCCAGTCAGAAATAGAAGAGAAAGATCAACAGATAGCAGAACTATTACAGGAAGGTACAAACCTAATAAATTGTCTCCCTGACATCATGATTACACGACACAAATATCTGTCAGACCCAGATTATAGGGTTTTGTTATGATAATTTGATTTCCAGTTTTTCATTGAGATTGTATATATCTGGAGATTTGTTTGCTGCTCCTAGGAATGTTGGTTCAAGAGCTAATTTTACGAAAATATTGTTGTCCTAGGTGGTTCAAGAGACTTTTGATATGAAAATGATCAGCTGAATGCCATTTGACATTTTTTACAGGTGAAAAGTTATCTAAACAGCAGCTACAAAGCAACAACATTGTAAAGAAGTTACGAGTGAAGGAGAAGGAAAACGACTCACTGTTAACAAGTCAGAAGTAGGTGTCTATCATTAACATTCTGTTTACCTCCCTGTTAACCAGTCAAAAGTCAGTGTCTATTATTAACATTCTGTTTACCTATCTGTTAACCAGTCAAAGGTCAGTGTCTGTTATTAACATTCTGTTTACCTCCCTGTTAACCAGTCAAAAGTCAGTGTCTATTATTAACATTCTGTTTACCTATCTGTTAACCAGTCAAAAGTCAGTGTCTGTTATTAACATTCTGTTTACCTCTCTGTTAACCAGTCAAAGGTCGGAATCTGTTATTAACATTCTGTTTACCTATCTGTTAACCAGTCAAAGGTCAGTGTCTGTTATTACCATTCTGTTTACCTCCCTGTTAACCAGTCAAAAGTCAGTGTCTATTCTTAACATTCTGTTTACCTCCCTGTTAACCAGTCAAAAGTCAGTGTCTATTATTAACATTCTGTTTACCTCCGTGTTTATCATGCAGCCTTCATCCTGCAAACCTTTCAGATTTCATTGCAAGATGTGGTGGGTTCTGGTGGCAAAATCTGAAAATGTCTAAAATGTACATGCAATGACCTCTATTTTTAGCCCACCATCATCTGATGGTGGGCTATTCAAATCACCCTGCACCCGTGGTCCGTCCGTGGTCTGTGGTCCGTCCTTAAACAATTCTTGTTATCGCTATTTCTCGGGAAGTACTGGAGGGATCTTTCTCAAATTTTATATGTAGGTTCCTCTTGGTCCTTAGCTGTACAGGGCAATTTTTGAGACTGATCGGATAAACAACATGGCCGACAGGCAGCCATCTTGGATTTTGATAGTGAAAGTTTGTTATCGCTATTTCTCGGGAAGTACTGGAGGGATCTTTCTCAAATTTTATATGTAGGTTCCCCTTGATCCCTCGTTGTGCATGTTATATTTTGAGACTGATCATAAAAACAAAATGGATTAAAAGAAGAACTAAACAGATCTTTCTCATATTGAAATGATCGATTCTATTTCTTTCACATTAAGTACTGTACTAGTAAATATGTGAAATGACAAACTCACTTTGAAGGTTGGCTTTCATACACATCAGTATTAAGTTTAGATCAAAAGTTACCTCAAGGTGCATTTACTGTTAACATGACTCGATCAAACAGATTAGAGGAAAGAAGAGAAAAGATTGAACTGACAAAGAACTGGTACAAAGGTGGGCGCCAAGACCCCTCTGGGATCTCTTGTATAGTATAGTAGCCTTTTTGCACCCTAACTTTTATTTTTTCATTTTTCCAGAAAACAGATCGATGATCAACAGAAAGAGTTGGACCACCTCAGGACTGTCTGCGAATCCAAGGATGTAATGGAGAAAAAACAGACAGGTCTGGCATAAAATAATAAAAATCTGACATTTCTGTTATTAACATACCAGTCTGTAAAAAGGTTTAACAGTGAAATGTTTTAAGGTGCTTATAAAGATAGGTATAGTTAGTCTTTCATTTTGAAAGAATGCTTCAGGTTATATTATTAGAAAAAGAAGTTCATGGGTGTTCACCTGTTTCTTCAAACTTTGGGTCAAATTCCCCAGAAGTTAAGAAAAGAATTCAATTACCGGTATAATGTATCAACTGCAAAACTCAACTGTATGAAAATTGTTGCATTTTGAATTCAAGGCAAATCATTTAATTTTCAGATGGCATCACTCAATTGAATTCTGCTGTACAGAAACAAGAGAGGGAGATTTCTAAGTTAAAGGTAAAGGACTAACGCATGTGATGATACTTATTGATTTAAGTTCTTGTTATATGTTAGCGTTAGAGCTGAGACTTATACTCGCACACTGTGAGCAGTAGAGTTACATAGGGGAAGGGAGATTATGCAGTAACATGGACAGTGTGTAATAAGTAGAAACTATCCTGCGTGTAACTTTCAACATATACAGTACACAGTTCATGTAATATTACTGGATGCAGTGTAACTAATTGTATTTAGATATTCTCATGTAACGAAGTCAAATTTTATGTAATTAGTAATAATTGAGAAAATAATTCTATGGTGTTTCAGGGAGAGCTGACAGATGCCCAGGAAAGAGTGCGAGGTCTGCAGGCAGCACTGGACAACTCTTATAAGTAAGTATGGTGTCTAAACAAAACAATACATATACAAGCCAGACACCTCTACAAACCAGACCTTCAAATAATCAGGTTCCATTGTATCACTATATAAATTAAATCTGTGCAATACTAGAAATGAGATTAAGATAGAAACATCTTTTGGTTGTGCTGATATAAAATACTTCGTTGACAACCTTTTTGTGATACTATCCTATATGATCTTAGTTGATTGACTGTACAGATGTTATTAGGTTATTAGTCCCTTACCGGTGAAACCGGGGGGGCTATAGTTTTCCTCTCCGTCCGTCTGTGTACGTACGTAACACCAATGATTGTCAGCGCTCTAGCGGCTTCATTCCATGAAGGATTTTGATCAAACTTCACACAAATACAATGGATCATAATATCTTGGACAAATTCGAGTTTCAAGGTTGTTCGGTCAAGGTCACCGTTTCTATTTTTAGAGAATCCTTGTCAGCGCTCTAGCGGCTTCATTCCTTGATGGATTTTGATCAAACTTCACACAATTACAAAGGACCATAATATCTCAGACAAGTTTGAGTTTCAGGGTTGTTTGGTCAAGGGTAACCGTTACTATTTTTAGAAAATCCTTGTCAGCGCTCTTGCGGCTTTATTCCTTGAGGGATTTTATCAAACTTCACTCCATTACAAAGGACCATAATATCTCGAACACATTCAAGTTTCAGGGTTGTAGAGTTGATGTAAAGGCCACCGTTAATATTAATACAAAATCCTGGACAAGTTGAAGCCAGTGATGGACTGATGATCAATATATAATAATAGAACAAAGATCGATTTGTCCTGTTCGATTCCGATTATTGATAACAAATTCCATAATCGATATAATCGGTTCATTACGGAACTTAAAGTGTCAAATGTGCATGTAATATACAGTATACATGGAAATTCATTTATTCTGATTTTTGTTTACAATATGATTGATGGTAATGTAGAATAGAATAATTTCATTAAAATCAGTTACAAGCTAATTGTATACTTTTCATTTTACCAAATCAACACCAAAGGGCACCATTTGTATAAATCATTACAGTGTAATAGCTAGCGGGGGCCGGGAGGGGACATGTATTGCTTTAGCAATACTCAGTATGCTTGTTATCATATGATTACAGAGAGATCGCTGAGCTTCACAAGTCCAAGGCAGCCCAGGATAGCAAAGTGCAGGAGACGGCCTTGAGTCTGGAGATGTCTGTCCGCGAGGAACTCAAAGCCACTCTGACCAAGGAACAGTTCAGCTTCAAACAGGAGAGAGAGGCCCTTATAGCTCAGGTTAGGAGATAAAGATCCTTCATTTTCAGGGAATTCCCCAGGGTGAACTTCAGAATATGTTTCAATGTGAAAATCTGAATACTTTCCCCTTATTTTATCCCAAGGTACTGTTAAAATTAACAGTTTGTGTGTACTTTCTTTCGTGTTTTCGTGATTACCAAATATTTTTTGTTTTACCCTGGATTCTATGACACTTTCCTTGGATGTGGTAAAGTTCATTTCATTTATACATAAGTAGAATCTACAACATTTTCAACATTAAATTCTTTTGCATGAATTTCTTTGTTGTTGTTACGTGGTCATAGTTATACACGTACAATGTATATACTTTTGTTTGCACCTTTTTTTATTGAAATTAAGTACATGTAATTTTAATGTTTTTGTTGTGTATATTATTTCGAGTTGTAGAAATATTTGTTGTAGTTATATTCGTGAATCCATAGCAACGACAAAAACAACAAAAGTTTATACACAACCAACATTTTAGCTATACAGTAATGTGTTTGTTGCAAGGGATATTCAGCATTTTATAGCCCCAGTAAAACCAGACTGTCAGTATATAAGACAACGAGGAAGGAAGTCTTAAAATCTAGTCTGCTATATCTTCCAGGGTGTTGGACCCCAGTGGGGGTTCATGTGGGTCCAACATTTTGTTGGACACCTAATGTACCCATATATACATGTGTTCTTAGTTATGATTCTTCTCTGCCTAAACATTCCCCATCCACACACAAAGCCTTTAGGAGAACAATGTACAGGAGAGGGAGGATATCACCTACTCTGACATGGGTGATATACCAGTATAGCAGCATGTTAGTATAGCCACAGAGGTAAAGGAATCAGATGTTGTTTTTAACAGATTGAGGATTTGAGGATGAGTATGTCCCGGATGGAGAAGGAACACAACCGGAGGGAGGACATGCTGAGACAGGAAATCTCGGACCTTCAGATGGTAGGTATTTACTTACTGGTGGCTCGGACCTTCAGATGGTAGGTATTTACTTACTGGTGGCTCGGACCTTCAGATGGTAGGTATTTACTTACTGGTGGCTCGGACCTTCAGATGGTAGGTATTTACTTACTGGTGGAATCGAAAATTGGGTTCAGAGGAGAAGGTAGAATACCAAAATAATGTTAAGATAACTTAAAGGGGCTGGTCGGGGAAAAAATGTCATATTTGCTAAAATGTCACACACATGTTTAAAATACCTTCTTATGAAATATACCGATACAAATTTTGCTGAAATTCACTCCCTCAGAGTAAAAATTATAATTATATTAAAGAAATCCTAAATCGTCACCTGACAGTCTAAAACTCTCAATTGACTCAGATCAGTGATGTGATTTTACCGCACACGCGTCATCAACAAGGCCAAATGTAAACATCGCGGCAAAAGAAATAGATGCCTGCAAAAGTCATGACAGGCACGAGGTATCAATACCGTTATATATAAAAGAAATTGATTGACTATAAACATACTTTGATTTATATGCTTTTAATTTGATTTGTATGTTTGAAACTATTGTAATAATTTGTTAGATTTTGTTCTGATTAGGGGTAATAAAGTGTTTATAAATTCAGCATTTACAAGAGGATGAGGCCAGAAATCAAGACCTGACACACAGCGTAACATCAGGTATGTACCAGGTAGATGGAATGAGTCCTACATATTAGTTCTAGAATCTCTTTTACTTATCATGTGACATCTATTTGATGCTTATCCATGTGAAGAGTCATTTATGAATTCATATATTCCACGAATGTACCTTGTAAAAGGGAACATGAGTTTAAAGTGACATCTATTGACGTCAGTGATAGCTTACTTGCAGAATGTAATCGGTCAATAAGGTTATCATAGTCTTGTTTAGTTTAAATTAACGTAAAATCCATCATCACCTATCCCAACAAATTAATGATATGTGAATATTTCATGTGTATCACTGGTTTCGTTGACAGCCACACGACCCCTGCTGAGACAGATTGAGAATCTCCAGAGTACATATGCTGCCCAGTCTACATCCTGGGAGAAGCTGGAGAAAACTCTCACGGACAGGATAGGTGATCCTCTACTGTTACATAACTCTTGGAGTGGAACCTAGTACTGGGTTATTCCAGAAATATAATATTCTTTAAAACTGTTAATGGTAATATGAAATATATCCACGTTATTACACAGACGAGCATTTTTGTATGCAGATGTCGACTCATCAGAGTTAAAAGTAAACAGATTGAAACTGTACAAATATCATTCTACAACAACATTGACAAGTAACAATTGTCCACTATAGAAATGGTTAAAGTTGTTCTGTTTACAGTCGACACTCAGAGCCAGCTGGCCATTGCTGTTGAAAAGGAGCGGTCAGCCAATGAGAATGTGATTGACCTCACGTCCAATGTGACTGCCCTGGAATCTCAGAATTGTCGTCTGCGTCAGGAGAAGTCACAACACATTGCTCAGCTAGAGATGCTAAAGACACGCGTTGAGGTATTGGAGGATGCCAAAAATAGGTAAGTTAAAAGACATGTGACCTATTGTAGGTTGACTGGTGTACTGAAGTGTGAAAAAAGGTAAAAATAATATTTCATAATATTAGGACCAAATGTCAAGTGGCAAGATCATTACACATGGAATATTCAGAAAAAGCGTTTTTCTCCTGCCCACACAACTCCAACAACCCAGGTGGAGAATAAATTGCCTGTGGTGGATGTTGCGGTATCTGTGCTGTGCTGTAGCATTCAAGTGAGGTAGCACTATAAATGATGCCGTTGGAAGCATAGTCCCACTACAAACAGAACACAATACATCTCCAGCACCCACGCAGGCATACACACATATAAAGCCAGGTGGTATAGGACAAGTATTTAGCACCTGATAAGGCAGCTCCTGCAAATTCCACAAACTTGTATTGATTAATGTATTTAATAATTGTAATGATTGTATAAATTGTATATCTATGAACTATAAAGCACTTTAGAGTGGCTTGTTCTAGCTAGATAGGGCACTATATCAAACGTTGTATATTTATTTATTTATATATTATTATTATTAAACTCCTTCAAATTTCCTCTCTTTGATTTACGACAACGAAATTTCATATTCCTTGATCAGAATATTTTTGCCTGTACATGTGTACTAGTGATTTTGAACAGACATGATGATAAATGATGACTTTGTTGAGGGTTATCGGTGCTAGAACGGCAGATTTTATGTTTAGTGGTTTATAATTTTGGCTATTTCTTTACAATACGTTCATATTTCAGTGAAACTGCTCAAATTGAAATAGTGAAACACCAGATGTCTCAGGAATTATCAGAAGTCAAAAAGGAGAAGATGTTTCTGGAGACACAGCTGGACATGGAGAGGACTAAGTTGGACCAGGAGAAGAAGAAGATGGCCATAGCTCAAGATCAGATAGCCCAGCTTGTAAGTACACCATGAAACAGCAGGCCAAATTGGTAGAGTGCCCATCTCGAGTTCAGAGTGTCCTGAGTTCGAATCCTGGTCTTGCCATGCACTTTTCCACTCCCATTACACAATTGGTGAGCTTGCCAACCCTTGGTTTATGTACTAGGTGAATACTTGTCAAGGGGATACCCAAACCTGAGTTGTAAATAGTTGTAACTTCAGAGAAAAACGGAGGGAGGAATGGAGATGAACTAGACATTGTCAATTTCAGTGACCAGGTAGCTGAACTGGTAGAGTGTCCGTCTAGAGTTAGGAGGGTCCCTGGTTCAAATTCCGGTCTGGCCATGCATTTTTCCAAAGGTATACTCACCTGTATTTTGATTTTAAGGTAAAATAACCTGTATTTAGGTAAAAGATAAAGTTTCTTGTATTTTGACTAGGAGCGGGAAATCCAGAGGCCACACTCTCGTGGATCAATGTCTCCCCAGAACCTCCAGCGGATGGACAGCATGTCAAGCTTTGGTGAACCGTCCGCTCTCAACACGTCCTTTACCCAGGTCTGTTAAATGTTTGTTGTCTTTATTGATAATTGTCTAAATAAATATATACATGCTTAGTACAGTAAAAACATGTTTATAACATATACCAAGAGACCTACAAAATGAGTCCTCTTCAGTAAAACATGTTTATAACATACCAAGAGACCTACAAAATGAGTCCTCTTCAGTAAAACATGTTTATAACATATCAAGAGACCTACAAAACGAGTCCTCTTCAGTAAAAAATGTTTATAACATACCAAGAGACCTACAAAATGAGTCCTCTTCAGTAAAACATGTTTAAAATGAACCACAGGGGACTAATAAGTTCTCTTTAGTAAAACATGTTTATAACAAACCCAAAGGACCTAAACAATTAGTTCTCTACAGTGAAACATGATATACTGGTAACATTAAATAGTTACCAAAGAATAAGCCCTTTATTGTAAAAATAATAATAATGATAAACCACAGGACCTATGAAATTGATTTATTATAAGCATTATTTGTATAAAATCAATGTCCAATAATATGATTTGGTTAAAGCAAGAATCTACAATAAGCATAGTAGAACTTAACTTGTTAACTTCTGGTCTTTGTTTAACAGAGACATTGCCGGTAGAATCACTTTGTCCGTCTACATATACCTTTCTAGAAGATAACTCCAGTTTTGATAGGCTGATTGGTACCAATCGTCTGATGTTTGTTCATAGTCATTGAAGAGAGACCCCTGTTATTTTTGTGTGGTTGGGAGTTTATGTCAAGGTCGCTGTTACTAAGTAGAAGAAAAATGTTAAAGAAATAACTTTCAAACACAACGTGTTGATGACCCCTATTCCTGAGGGTATGAAGTTAAGATAAATGTCACTACAACAAGAAATGAAAAAAAATCACCCATTAAATTTCTTCTTTAGGTGAGTTGATGAGGTGGATTAGGAGTAGACCTGAGTTTGACAGTGGGTAGAACCCATTCATACATACCGATTGGTTAATGGATTCAACACACCTGCGATCTACTCTCTCCTGTCTGTTTGAATACTGAATCTTTTATGCGAGAGACTTATAATTAAAAAAGCATCATGTGTCAGTTGACTATGTGTGTCGAGTCATAGTGTGAACTTTCGTGTCAGTTGACTATGTGTGTCGAGTCATAGTGTGAACTTTAGTGTCAGTTGACTATGTGTGTCGAGTCATAGTGTGAACTTTAGTATCAAGGATGACCCAGAGTTTAGGTGGACTTTCTAGAATGATGTTGAGATTGGATCGATTTTGTTTTCAGGAAAAAATTGCCTTTGAAACTAGTGTTTCTGTGATGTTTTTGAAGATTGTGTTGACTTTGTTATCTTGAATTTGTGTTACTAGGATGACCTTGAAAGGAACTTCCTGTTGTCCCCTGGGAGTAGTGGACTTGGAAGTCTGACAAAGTCCAGTCTGTATGAGAACATCAGACATAGTGGTGCTGCCAATCTACTGGAGAATCTACAGTCACAGCTAAAACTCCGGGAAGGGGAGATCACTCAGTTACAGGTACGTTCCATAGATTTGTAGAGGTTTGTGAGGACCTGGAAATGACCTTGTAATCTAGACACTCTGTGTAAAATTTAACTTTCAAAGTCAAATTATTGACAAGTTTTCAATACTCTGTAAAATATTTTCAAAATTGATAAAATTCAGTGACAAAAGCATGTTTGAAATTATGCCAGGCTTTCACTCAGGATGCTATGCAGAATGTTGCTCAATAAGAAATGCATCGACATATAATAATACACTGCAGTACTTGTCAAAAACGTGTGTATTACTGAGAAAACATTCAGATGGATTTTGTAACGTTGTTTTCCAGAGTGAAATCCAACAACTTGAGAGGACTAGGGAATCCATGGCTCGAGAGCTTGTCAATCTGACCAATCAGAATGAAGATCTCAAGAGTCAGGTGGAGTCATTACCAGTGATTAAGAACCAAATGCAGGTGTGTACAACACCCGAACGAGGTGTTTTCTGTTATTTTTTATTTCATTGTTGAATAATGTCAAGCTTTGTCATATCAGTGGAGTTTACCTCCATATTCATCAAGAACAGTGTTTAATTGAAATAACCTCCCATGTATTTGTTATCACCAGGATCTAAACCAGAGATACAATGCCATGCTACAGATGTACGGTGAGAAGGTGGAGGAAGCCGAGGAGCTTAAGATGGATCTCCATGATGTCAAAGAGATGTACAAAACTCAGGTAAAATCTTAGTTGTGTAATTTGATGTCAAAGAGATGTACAAAACTCAGGGAAAATCTTAATTGTGTAATTTGATTTCAAAGAGATGTACAAAACCCAGGTAAAATCTTAGTTGTTTAATTTGATGTCAAAGAGATGCACAAAACTCAGGTAAAATATTACTGTGTAATTTGATGTCAAAGAGATGTACAAAACTCAGGTAAAATCTTACTGTGTAATTTGATGTCAAGGAAATTTACAAGACTGTGGTTAAATTCTTACTAGTGTGATGTCAAGGAGATGTACAAAACTCAGATAAAAATCTTTATATGTAATTTGATGTCAGGAGGTGTACATAACTCAAATAAAACTCATTCAAAATATACTTACACAATTGACCAATTTCAAAATCATCATCTAATGAGTTACTTGAACATGTAGTGGCGGGCGGGCGGG